TTTTTTTTTTTTTTTTTTTTTTTCTTTCTTTTTTCAATAAAAATTTGATTTATGTGAAAATAATGTGATTTTTCAGAAAGCACACATTCCGCAATCCATAATGGATGTTATTCAGGGTAAATCACCTTGTGACATGCATGATGAATTTGATATTGTGAGTAAAAGTAGTTGTATATAAAAAACTTGATTTTTATACTATCATAAAAACAAAATAAATATATGAACTGATCCAAACAGATCCCCCTTAAATTTCTTGCAGGCACCACCCGGTGATTATCCGATCGAACAAAAACCAGATACAATGGAAACTGATGTTTCAGAACCAGCCCCCCCTGGTTTAGATTAGCATAAACTCATTCCAGTGTTGGGATCTGAATCATCACCTACCGATTGTCCCAACTTTAATGAATTCACATTGTAAATCATGAATTGTTTTCCCTACTTACTGATAATCTGAAACGTTGGATCCACGTATTTTCTGAACAACACGAAAAATGTACATATTTTTATTTAGAATTTACTAAAGATTTAATTAATTTTATGAACATGACAAACTACTCTATAATTTAGATTTTGTAAATAGTTCGCACATACTTAGATGTACATACACACAAACATACGTGCATACATAAAAGTGGTACTGTCATAGCAATGTATATTTTTAATCACATTATAGTGATTCTTATTATCGATGCATTTTCGTATTTATAAAATGCACAATTATTTTTTCTACTTAACAAAGAATTTAATACAATTAGTAACGAATAACGTATTTATTTATTAATATTCGGCATTCTCTCTACAAAAATGTCAACAAGGCATTACGATTCGTTATAAATGTACATATATACACATACATTGTATATATATTTCGAAATTTTTTAAGATTGAACCCAAAGTATAGTTTATTGTATATGAAAAAATATATTTCATCGCATTAAATCACCATACATGTATAAGATTTATATTGCGTTTACAATTTTTGTATATGACTTATAGATATCATACGCTTAACAGTAAGTATAAAAATTTTAGTTATTACTTTATACCTAAATGTTAATTATGCCATATACTTTTCATATTAAATAGCAAATTATTTATAAGATATTCATAGCTAATTCAATGTATGTACATATACGTATGTAACAAAGTACGTACGTACCAGGTTTCATATCACATTCATGAGACAAAAAGGTATAAAAAAAAAAATTGATCTTTATTACAAATTATCTCGATGATTAAGTCATACAAAAAAAAAAGAAAAAAAAAGCGAAAAATAAAACATTCATTTCTATATAACTCGATATTCTTTTTCGCGTGAAAACCACGGACAATTTTCTCCCTCATTCTTCCACAATATATGCATATGTGTTAACGGTATAATCAAAATTAATGTCTATATTTTAATAAGAAAGAAAAAAAATGTAAATATCATCCAAAATCAACGCCCGTGTCTAACAGATCGCGTAACATAAATGATGCTTTTTTTGGAAGTATCCTAAAAATACAAAATATCAATGATATGTAAATTAATTTCGAAAATTTAGTACGTCTATTAGTAATAATAATGCAAAAATTACCTAAGAATATGTCCCAAATAGAGTAAATAACCAGGTACACTAAATTCGGCGTAATTTCGCCGAACACCGTCTAAGATTTGTTTAGCAGCTTCTGCAGCTGGCATCGTGCCGAAATAACTCGGTATTCTGAACAAAACCAGAAACAAATTTTTAGTATAGTGTAGTGTAATGTAATTCAATTTGCTGCTTACCTGAAACGAATATCTTTCGCCACTTCAGCGCCTACAATAAACGGATAAACGTGAACTAAAGTGATTATGATGTTACTATTAGAATGTCTTAGTTCAGTATGTAATGATTCAGCCAATCCTTGAACTGCAAACTGTGCAGTTGATAATGGAACTCTACTTCTTCCTGTAGCACCACCCGAGAGACCAGCTACAGACGACAAAACTACTATGTGTCCTTTGCCAGCGCGTTCCATACATGGTAAAACTGTATCCAGCAACTGAAACACAGTAATTGAAGATTATATTTTAAATACTATTTACAATGTACATATATGTGATATATATTTACCCAGAAGTGACTAATAACTGTCAAATCAATTGTATGCCTTATTTCTGGTGGATCCTGAAGTAACGCTCTAGGACTAGGTATACTGCAGCAATGGAAAAGCATCGTAATTTCACCTAACTCTGATTGAATAATATTCACTGTATGAGCTACCTATTGTATTTCATTTGCAATCAAATCAATGATACCTATTACACTGTGTATGTACATGTCAATTTTACAAATATTATGCTTACTTCGGTTTTATCCGTTATATTACAAATATATGCTTTAGCTACTCCTAAAGCTCTAGATGCTTGTTGTACGGTACCATAACAGTTTTCAACACTGATGTCTACACAAGCAACATTAACCCCTAATTGACATAAATGAATTGCTAATTCTCTCCCTACTCCACGTCCTGCACCAACCACCTAAAACAAAAGGAAAATACTTTGTAATTCTACCAAATTATCAGCTGACAAGGCTTAACATTTTACTACCATTGCAGTTTCTCTGCGAAGACTTTTCAAAGGTGGAGGCCTAATCATTCTATAAAATGCAACTAAAATAGCAAACGCTATACCAATTAGCAATGTTACAAGATCCAATATTAGAATGAAAAGAGAATACAGTTTTAATAGCATTTTCGGTGGCCTGAAGTTTCTTCTTAAGCTGTCCTGTAATAGAAATTTATGGTTTACTTTTAATCTTTTGAGCTAATTAAAGTTACTAGAAAAAAAATACATATTTTATCAATTTAAAGGTATTTTAATATCACTAATTTTATGCATTTAAATTACAAAACGTTCATCCAATGTTAAGAATAAATCCAATGTTTACTAACACTTACCATTTTTCTTTTTTTCCTTTTTTTTTTTTTTTTAATAAAGTAATCAAATATAATTATAAGTGAGATCGTGTCATAGAACAATTTTAATTAATTATACGGAGCAAATTTATTCATTTGAGAGATATGTACCTTGTATCAAGTTACGCGTGAACTTTTCTGATAACATATCCGACGTCATTATGAGGGGGAAGGTAACCGAAATTTATACCAATCGATATTTTATAAACGCATAAAAGCATACGAATGTGAGTTTTAAAATAAAACTAAAAAGAAACTGAGAATCACTGAATTTTATGATACGTACCACGTGCCCAAAAACAGTTTTGAAGAAGTTCAACCGGCGTTCGTACTATTGCCTCTCCATGCGCAAATTCTTTTCTGATAAAATTTGAATGAAATGACATTGAATTTTTATAGTCGTCCAGGAAAGAGATAAATCGAATATATATCATGAAGAAATTATAAAGTTTCAAACGTTTAACCTTGTAATTGTTTGTACGCAAATAATATACATTTATGACTGTATACGAGAAAATTGTCTTGTTAATAATTAAATTAATTTGAAAATTTGACAGAGGGCTATGAAACGTAATTATCTTTTTTTATTCCCTTTTTATATGGAACTTTGCTGTTTTTTAAAAAATTAGTGAAATGTAAAGTCATAATAAAATCGATATCAACGGTAGATAAGTCGAATTCGTATCCCTAATATATCGATTGAGTTGGAATGACGTAATCGTGAATAGATGTTCCAGTTGTAAAGATCGTAATTTAATAATAATTAATCAAAAATGTGGTATGAAGTACTTCCAACATTAGCTATATTAGGAGCTGTTTTTGCAGTGCCGCAAATAATTCCATATTATGTGGAAAAGAAGATTTATGGCAATGTAAGTAATCTCTTCGACATAACCTCTGTGGAGAAGTGTTTGCATAATAAATGTCATTTACATTTGTAACTGAATGACTGCGTTGTTTTAACGTCTGTTATTTTGCAATTGAATTGTACAGTTATGTTTGTTTTTATTTATTAATTATGAATCTTATAATAATTTTTATATGTTTTGTCATGACAGCCAATAAGAAGGGATCATAGTCTGCATTGGACTACCATAATGTCAGAAAGGGATGAAGCATTAACTGGTGATTACAGAAAACCACGGGTAACTGATTTTTGTTTATTATCGTATATAAATATCATATTTAATGTTTTAGTTGTTAATAAGTAAATACATTTAATACGGTTGATATTTTTCAGGGTTTGGAAGGAATTCCTGATAAATAAAATTTACTTCTACCTACGTTTAGTAAAATCAATATGTAAATATATATAATATTTCAAATACATTGATAAGTACTACTTTTTAGTTTGATTTCTCATAACGTTCCTTACTTTGTAGCAAATAGCCATAGATATTTGTCATTTACAGAATAGCAGACCGGAACACTTGTTACAGTAGGAGTATCAGTTTTTCATAAGTTTATTTCGCATAGAGTTTTATACATTGCTATTGTAATGAGATTGTCTTTCGAGTATTATACGAGGAGTCTCGTATATTTTCATTTGTGAAATACTGAAAACAGAACGCGGTATTGAAATGAAAAATTAATAACTGTAAAGTAATCGAGTTTCCGCGGATACACTAACCGATTACGGTTCTTGAAAGTCGGTCCATAAGAACGGAATATCTACCACTTGCATAGAAATTTTTCTTTTCCCCGCACAAAAATATATTTCCTTTATTTTTAATTGTTCTTTGTTTTCACGTCGATACGATTCGGATTGTTAAAAAAAAATATAAGATCGGCCCCTATACGTAGATAGAGATAACGAATAATATATAGCCAGAAACATAAAGGTGTATATAGAGGTACATATATATGTATATATACACGTAATATGTATACGTATGCTTTTTTATAGTAATTGCGTGAAATGATCGTAATTTTTTGTGACTTATGTTAGGTACTGAGCGTTTGAAACATTCGTAATAAGCGTGTACGTTGACATATCGATGCAGCAGTGTCTTTAAAACAAGCCCGTAAACGTGTCGCACATTGTACATTGCGCGTGATCGAGAACGCTTTTAAGCGAAGGTCAAACAATCGTTACAGATACAGAATAATGCGGATATCGTTATAAATAATTGGTATTGCGCCGTGTAATCGATTACGAACGCGTGAGGATATCTGTGTAGAGATAGGAGTAGTTAGAGGCCAGGTACTTTAATCGAACGTATCTCGAAACGTTTTCTCCGGACAGTGCAACGAATCCGTTGTCTCGAAATTGGAATTTATCGATTCTACTATTCATCTCCGGCACGTTTACCTGACGACTCTTCCGACCAATCGACGTCGATCTTCCGTGTTGAAAAATTACTCACCGACAGTACCACTTTCCGATGATTCGTGACAACGTTAAGCAGCGGCAGTTCCTTTTGTCCCGCACTGTACCGTCACCTAGAAGGTTAATTACCTGTCAGCTCTTATCCGTGTCGTAGGGTATGCCTTCAATTTCAGCTGCAATCACGGAGAAAACTGGCAGGAAAATCGGCCTTGCTCGAGATACCGCTCGACAACCTACGGTTGCAGCTTTAAAATCGGTCTTCGCGCTCGACGAGCAGCTTCGCAGTCCGCTGCGAGACGTCGTCGGAGCAACGTCGCGGGTCTCGCTTCGATCTTTTGGTTCACGATTTTTCGATCAATTTCTCGCTAATTTTCGTCGAACAAATAACAACGTTCGACATGTTTCGATATCAACGCGAATTACAAGGAAGAAAAAGAAGCAACGCTTAACCGTATTTATTTACGCGAGGATTCATAAGAAAGTGTCGGGGGTCGGATCGCTATCGCTGCATCTTTCGGCCGTTCGATTCTCAAGGATCACGGGCAAACTCGTTCGGAACAATATTTTAGCGGCTAGAGAGGGGGAACGAGAGGAAACAGGATTTCGAACAGTCTTCACGAGTGAGAAAAAAACGCGGCGCATCGCATCGCATCGCAACAAGTCCTCCGATGTGCCGTAGTTTTTTACTTGCCCCTGTGTAATCTACCCTTCTCGTAACGGTTAATTGTTCCGTTCAGCATCGAGAGGGAGAAACAGAGAGAGAGAGAGCGAGAGCGAGAGCGAGAGAAAGCAGCCGAACAATATTTAGTGCAGTGTGTATCGAGGAAAGTTTCGGTTGCCGTTCACGGTCAACCTGTTAGTCATGTGGGAACGGTAAAAACTGCTCGGGCAGGAACTCTGGAAGAGCAGTTTCTCGGAAACGGACGCCGGAATGGTAATAACGACTCGGTAAAACCTACTCCCCGTTGCACGCAAGGATATACGAGGATCGTCCTTTCGGCCGTTCGTACGCTGTGCGATGTTTATTTACCAGTTTTTCGAACGGTGTGTTTTCACACGCGCGTGCAACGTGACTGTATTCATGCAGGTTCGTTCGAAAAAACAGGATGCTTAAAAACACATTTTGAAAAAGTCCGTGAAAAGAAAATATCGAATCGAAGGGAGAAAAAGTTGATCGAAGAAAAATGAACATGCGACGCTCTCGGAACTCGAATTGGGGATGGCACAGTGCGAAGATGGGTAAGTAAAACGTAGAAACGTTTGCGTCGCGTTTCTTTCGCTCGATTTACCGACCATAAGACTCGTTCTCGTTTCGAGTAGAAGAGCTCGTTCGCTGCATACTCGAAACACATAATCGAACCTCGTAAACACACTACGCGTTCTAGCCGTGAAAATGTCGACTTTTGTTTCTCGAGTACACCTTTGTATCTCGTTACGTCTCGCAGCGTCGTCGTCGTCGTCGTCGTCGAAAAATCGACGACATTCCACGCGATACTTCGTACGAACGTTTCGACGCAAAAGAAAATGCGACTCGCGAAAAATCGATCGCGTCTTTCTCCGTTCGTTTGTTTTGCGACCAATTCGAACTGGTTAAAGTTACGACACGTAAGTAAAGCTGTTGGATTAATAAACATCGATAATTTAATATATCGAAGTATAGAATATAGCACATGATTCTATTATTCGAATTTAATTAATCTTACTCGAAACGATGTTAAATTATATTTAAAAGCTAAAAAAGATAAGATGCACCGATCTAATACGACAAATTCGAATGATGTAATTATCCGATGATGTAACGTTAGGTTAGTTTACATTCGATCTCGATCGCTTCCATTTACCTTAACGATATATCGTTAAATGTCGATAAAATTATCGATACGCGATAATTGTATCTTGACGCGTACACAGAACGATGTTAGATCGAAGAACGCTTAGAATTTTGAAATATGTTTTCGAAATCTATCAACGCGTAATTATTAGCTTCACCGTTGGACGGTTTCTCCTTTGTTCGTTCGTTCGTTCGTTCGTTCGTTCGTTCGTTCATGCTCCCGTACGGAACGAAGTTACGGAATCGCGAAAAGGTCGGTTACTCGAAGCAAATATTTAAGATCCATTTAAGACGAGCGAAACGGTCCAAAGAGATTTTTTTCTTAGCGTACGCAACGACATAGATCAAGGATTAAGATCGAGTTAAATTGCTTTTCTTTCGGTAGTACGGTCGGGTTATCGGCAAGAAAGCTAATCTACGTTCGTGAGCGTTGATAAATCGGCTCGCATGGCATGCTCTTGGTCACAGTTTTTCCCTTCTAATCTCTAACAACCGTTGCTTCCCGACTTGTCCGTTCGTGAATACGGTTGTTACGTTGACAGGATCGAAACATAACCAACGGCGATAAAAATTTATCGTCCACGATAAAAAAGCACTTCTCTCGAGCTGTTCTTGGGGAAAACGAGAAAAAGCGGGACAATCTTTTAATGAAAATAATATTCGTCGGTGTAATTAAAAGCTTCCAGCTCTTCGAATTCGCGCATCCTCTTCCGAGCGTTAAATATTCAATTGGCGGTCCACCGTAAGCGGCGAGGCGAACATTCGTTAGTGTTTATCCCTGATTCTGACCGTGCACAAGTTTTTTTGAAAAATAAAATAACTGCATGCTCACGTATTATGTGGTTAGCGATGCCGAGCTGGTTTTTTCTTCGACGGTCCCACGAAACCGTTTACGCTGCGACGCAGGGCGAAGGGGTAGGTTGATATACGAATATCGATTTCTAAGGAAAGCTCGGATGTTCCGACGATATTTCAACGATCTTTTACGCGTCTATGGACCTTGATCTTTTCGAAGTTGCCATTATATGTTATACGTATAACGTTTAAACGAGTATCATCGATATCCGGGGAGTACCGCGAAAGTTTGAAAACTTTGAAAACCGTAGGTTGTCTGTCGAAAGGTTCGCGCAGAAGCAGGATCGGACGCGAAAAGTCGAAGGGTTGGACGTTCGTTTTCGTTGCGGGTCGTAAGACGAGTGGTTATTTACTTAGCTAGTTCGCTCGGCGATTCTCGAGACTTTAGGAGCGAGGCGCAAGTTAACGGCACGTTTCCTCGTGTTTCCGTTGGTAATTTATGAAAATAACATATTCCGGTTGAGCATTGACGATTTCCCAGGTGTCGCTAATCCGTATTTAGGCGACGGAGGTGTCGCGAGGGGCCCGCGTTAAAACGTTCGAAACTCGTCGAGTCACGCGGCGTATGTCAAGACTGCCAAGAACTTGTGCATATTCGGTGGCACCGTTCGAATCGCTTAGCTGCTTACGTCGCACGTTTCGAAGCGTTTCGAAGCGTTTCGAAGCGTTTCGAAACGTTTCAAAGGGTTTTCACGTCCCATCGTTACGCGCGGCACGCGCCGCACGATTGTCCGCGTATTTAAGCGCGTAATTAAAACGCTCTCGCATTACGGACGAATGCAATAATCTTTGTGCATTTGTTGCTTTCCCATTCACCGGCAACGCGCGACCGAATAATTGCCTTTTGCTTTATTGTGCAACGCGATCGGTGGGCTCGCGTTTCGCGCGCCGATCAGCCTTTTCTCTTTGTTCGTTCGCGCGCTCCATTATATACGGAGCTGTGTACTTTTCTTCCCGGAACACCGTTACTCCTGAGCTTGTTCTTTCGCAACGGCTGCCTCGACGAGGGTTCCATTCTTCATCGCCGAACTTCTCAAGGATTTCTCTACACCTGGAACAGATGCGCGACGTATTACCTCTCCTGATCATTTTTACCGGTTTCGCCGACTTTAAGGATACGAAAGGTAGAGAAATTTTCTTAGTTATTTCTCCGGTTGAATCGACGCGACTCTTTGTTACAGCTATATCGATCATAGGTTAAATCAAACGAGCACGAACGCTCGCGATGTTTGTACCGCGATGTTTTATCGAGAAACGTGAAATTCCATTCTTTCGCATCCGCTTCAGACAAATTGTCTTTCGCGTTGATCCTCGTGTAACGTTCGGTACACATCGCGTTCGCGAAATAACGAGCAATCGTTAAGTTTATTTCAGCGACGAGATAGCGGCCCGTGTTGTTCGACCCACTCGTCGATCGTTGTAGATATTATTTTTATAATTGCGTATACGTTGCTCGTCGATCGTTACGTTCGTACCGGGAGCCTGTTATCGACATGGACTACTTCAATTATTGTCGTAAAAATCCCTCTCTTTATGATCTCGTTACCGTTGTTCTTTCAACGGTGCTCCCAAAATCGTGGTGACCTGGAGAGGAAAAATCGTTCTCGTGGCAGGAAAGGATGACTTATTATTCGTAGATTGATTTAATAGGAAAATCCCGGACAATAAATGAATTAGCCTGTTAAAACGTATCGGCAACGGTCATATTTCTTCGCGTATCGCTCTAAATACGAAATATCGTTTCGCGAGAGGGTGACCGATTAACGTCGAACGATCTTTGACCCCGACTGCAGCGAACTCGCGCGTTCGGACCGATCGGAATTAATTTTATTCAACGAATCGTGCCCGATCTAAATTAAAGATCAGAATAAATTCCGTGGAAAAAAACAAATGTAGATGGTAGTTGGGAGAGGATTCGTCGGCCGCGTTAGGAGCATATTTCGATCTCTGCGGCCGAGTGCTGGCGTTTCCTCCGTCCAACCAGGATCAACGATTCAGATAGGAAAAGAAAGAAAAAGCTTTCGTGGACTCGCGTTGAAATCGATGTTCCAGTTAAAACTACGCGGGGCATGTTAATGAACATTAATGGAAGAGCAACGGAGCTACGGAAACAAGGGGAGAAAGAAGAAAGACGAATAGCGAGACGAAGAGAGAGACGAAGAAGAAAACTATGGAAAGGAATAATTACGTAGTTTACTTAGACGACGGTGTTAGCATTCTTCTCGAAATTAGCGGGAAATTTCATTCCGGAAGTTGGACACGCGCAACCAGGGTACAAACTCTCGTCGCGTATCGAATTAACGGACTCTGCCGACTCGCGGGATGTTGGAAATATGAATTCGGCCTAAATTAGTTGACTCTCGAGTCTTTTCCCGAACGATCGGAGGAAATACTTTCGAAATGTATAACATCGATATAAATGTATCAATTTCGAAATGAGCAATTACCGTGAAATTCATTGAAGTTGTTGGTATAATTTGTCGCGAACCGTGTATACGCGTTCAGTTACGTAAAAGGGTGTACATATAACAGAAACGACTGTTCGCGATTAAGTAAAAGAATTTCAGAAGGATCGAGCGAATTGAAAGAAGATCGCGCGAGAGACGTTTTCGCGGTAATTTTCAAGATGGTATTCAAACGACGCGTTCTCGTAAACGCGAATCTTTCTTCGACGTTCGCGCTTTAACGAACGTCGTAGTATAGAAGCTGTAACTGGTACCGATTCAACGCTATCCGAGGAGAGTTTTCTAAAAAGAAATTTAACGAAGTTACATTTTTTCATAAGAACGATAAAGGGAAGCCCTATTTCGATTTCGAGCATAGTCCGTTCAGCTTGTTTGCAGAGGCTAAAGAACGTTCCTAGTTGGCGAGTGGTACGAGTCCGTATGATTGGAAGCACTCTTAATTCCGTTGCAACGCGATCGGGAGATCAGAGGCGACCGGAGGAGACCGAAGGAGATCGAAGAAAAAGAACGAACGCGACTGTGAATGCTTGATTTGATTGCACGTTTCAAGGCCGTCGCATCTACGGAATACGCTATGCACTCGCTACTAGGTTACTAGATGCAATCGGGAGTAACACAGTTTTCGCTCGATCGGAAATACGTATATCTATTTTAGAATTTTTAAATACGAAACCTTTCAAATCCATAATTAACTATGTATCCTGGTTAGGTATTTTCATCCGAATCGGAATGCGAACGCGTAGCTTGCGACATACCGATCGATTCTGCAGGCGCGAAAGAAGATCGCGACACCTGTTCATTCGGATCAGCTATACGAGCAGCTGTTTAATTACCAACGGATTGCTGGCCAAATCGAACGTTTACTATCGATTTACCGAGGAGGGCAGATCGTGACGAGAATCGTTTACGACATTTCTGTGTCGTAAACTTTCAGCGTGAAACTATTATACATATAGCAACTTCGAATTGCCGAATTTTCCAATTCGAATATTAACATTTCGAAATATCTACGTATATTTCTGAGTGGTCGATTACTTATTCGATGAAATTTTGATCGACGTTCGCGATCACGAGTAGTGACCCGCTGGCGCAAAGCGGCGAAGCTCCTTCGCTTTCGAGTTTCCTATAATGTAGCAACTTTTCTATGACCCCGAAGATTCTTCGCCGCTTTCTCCCTCTTTTTCCCCCTTTTTCCCCCTTTTTCCCTCGAGGGAACAAAACTAGAAGGTGAATTACCTTTCTTTCCACTTACTTTTTAGGCTCTCTAAGGCGATGCTGTTCCACCTCGAGTCTTTATTCGTCGTTCGAAACTGTTCCCGTCGTAACATAGAGTCCTGCTTTCTCTATTACGTATCCGGTTAAAATAAACGTCAGATTTTTCGGGTAAATCGTATCGAAGAAAATACGGTCTTGATGACCGTCGAGCGGAAGAAACGGAGGCTCGATTTCTTCCAGCTTGCCTAAATTTAGCCGATGAGTGTCCTTCAATTTAATCCGTTCTTCTTGACCCAAAAGCGTTTCCATCCTCGTGTAACGCCAGCCACGAACAGATTATCCGACCAGCCAATTATCAATGGCCCGTTGAAACATGAAATTCTCTCTTTAATCTCTACAACTATTCTTTCGCTTTTCGTCTTCCGACTAATTCCCTAGGCACATAGTTCGAAGAGTCGCCCTTACAAACTCGCGAGACCCTATCAAAATTTCATTCGACCGTACATAGTGGCATCGGTGAATCCTACGATCGGTTAAGGTTTCAACGGATTATCGAGATGCTGTTGCTACGGAATTTGCGTAGTCTTCTTCTCGATTCGATTCGATTCGATTCGATTCGATTCGGTACGTACCTAGATAAAAGCAGTTTAGCGGCAGATTATTTATCCGAGTTTGAAGGCTCTCGATAAAAGGTAAAAGGAAGCATGAAAAATTTGTCGAACGGCAACGGGATGATGCAATTCGAAATATGTACAGATCGGATTGCGACGCTTTGTTCGAGGCAACGCAAGAGCCGCGTTCTTTCCTCGTCTATTCGATCCGATTCATTCCACTCCGATATGCAATACATTATTAATATCGAATGTCAGCGGACGCATCGATATCGAGTGTCGCGCTACCGGTCTGCGAAGGTCTTCGAAGGTCTGCGAAGGTCTTCAAAGACGGCAATTTTTTATTCTCGATCATTGTTATCATCGCACGTGTATGTTATATTTATTACGCACGATATTATCTCGAAATGATTCACCGTGAAACACGAGCACTTTCAGCGGAATTCGATAACAACGTAGTCGATACAAGATTTTCGAGGATTTCAGGAAAATTTTCAACGAGCACCAATACCCGCGACCTGACAGAGTCGAAAGGAGAAAAGGAGGCTCTGTCGCGGCGGAACGAACGAGGATCGGGCGAAAGCGGTTAAAACCGAGAGCTCGACTCTCTGAGCGATCGAGCGCGACGCGTCGAATAAATTTGGAAAAAGCGTAGAGACGCGAAAGGGGTGAGCTTTCGGAGGGTGGTTTCTCTCGCATCGTTCGATGCGTGCCACGAATAAGAGAGAACCATGGGTTCATTTGTCCAAGTCTCTCGGCACGATGGATACACGCGCGCACGACATATACCGGGCCAACCAGTACAGAGAATATTTATGAAGCTTCGGCCGAAGATGAATGAGAAATCGTTCACGAGAGCTTTGTACGATCCTCTTTGCGATGTCTGGCTTCATCGGGAACACGTCAAACGTTCTCCAGACACGTTGGTTTGTTTCGTCACGGTCTGTAATGATGTACCTCGCCTTCAGGGCTATTGTCGTTCGCCGACAAGGGTATCCTGGTGAACAGGGTAAAGAAACGTTTCGCGTCTTTCGCCGCTGTAAACGCTTACAGGATTAGGAAATATACGAGCAAAACGCTATCGCATGCTGTAGAAATTTGCTAATTCTACGAAAGTTTCGACGACTTTTACTTCGACGGAAGTTCGCGCCGCAACCGGGTAGACGCGATCGAGGAAGATCCTCTTCTGTCCGGAAACGAAGCTGCAGAGAGCCGCGTAACGTGCTCCCTCGGTGTAACTTGCTAAAAATAACAACCGCTCGTTCGTTCGGTTCGCGAGAGTCTCCATTTTCTTTATTTCACCGTTCGACCCGCCTTGGAATTACCGACATTCGTTCGGGCAACTCGATTTCCCGCCTCTTTCTTTCATTCGCGCGACAATTTTCGCTTACCTCCGTTCGACGCTGTTTCAAGTAAATTCCGCGTTCTAACGATTCTTCTACCTCGACAAACGACTTATCCTAAAATTTATGATTCACCTACTTTCCCGGACTTACTTTGGTCGCGTAATTTCGCAACGCCGGTTTCTCTTCCCTTCGGGTAGGTTATTAGAGAAGCAACAAACGATATTTCAGGAGTGGGTCAAGTTTACCGTTTCTCTTCGTTTCTAGCGTCCACGTAAATCGCGGACCAACGAAAATTCTCGAAAGGCACGCTTCGAAACGATGCTTTTAATTCCGTATCGATGATTCCGCCGAGGGTGTTCTTCCATCGAGGCTGCTCTCGAAACCGTAGCACGTTCGATTCTCAACGCGAGTTATCGTTCTCGTTCTTCGGAATTATAGCGCTTCTTACGAATCCGGAAAACTAACCGATCGATCGTAATCGTTTTCG